CCAGAACTCACTTTGTTGATCAGGCTGGCCTTGAACTCACAGCCTGCCTCTGCCTCCTGAATACTGGGATTAAAGGCCTATGCTGCCACCACCCCTGGCCTCACCAAATCTTTTATAAATACTTCATTATTGGCCAAAAAAACCAAAACCAAAACCAAAAAACAAAACAAAACAAAACAAAACCCTACTTTCAAAAGGTTTCAATCTTGGCTTTGTTTTCACAGACATGTGATGTGCACTCCTTCCCTTCCTGTTACAGTCTGAATTCCACCCAGACAGAATTCAGGCCCTGAGACTCAAAGGCCAGGGTGATAGGAGGATCAGGGGTGGTTCTAAGAGTGATTAGGTCATGCAGCTCCTCTTTGTGAATGGGATTAAGAAAAAAGGCTTCATATTGGCCTTTTTTCTTCCACCGTCCATCACATGATATAGCATCCTTCCTCTCTGCAGGAAGCAACACTCAGACAAGGAACCCACCAGTATCCTGATCTTAGAATTCTCAGCTTCCATAATTGAACATAAATCAATTTCTGTTCTTTATAAGTTACCTAGTCTGTGGTGTGTTATTAGAGCAACACAAATGTACTTCCTTGCTCTATTTCTTTCCACCATGTATCAGTTCCCTAATCCCAGAACTAAAAGCCTCTAAGACACCCATGTCATATTAAGAAACTGCCCTCCTAACAAGAACCTTCAGTTCCCAGCAACTATATCAAGTAGTTCACAGCCACTTTCAACACCAGCTCCAGAGATCTGAGGCTCCTATGGTCACTATACTCATAAGCACAAACCCGGACGTATATACAAAGTAAATCATAGGAGATTACTGGATGCCATCTTCTGGCCTCCACACACGTGTACAAGTGCACAAATACAGACACTCAGACTTCTCAGTCTTACACACACACACACACATACACACACACACACACACACACACACACAGTATTTTTCAGAAACCTATGTTATAAACAAAATAATATGCACAACAAACATTAAAGACAGAATGATCCCTTATATGAACCAGTCAATAATGATGAGTATAGAATGAACTAAAGATTTTAATATCAATATTCCTGAACTTAAGTAAAATGCTGATATGTTCAGACATTCAGCCTCTTAAAGGTTCACAAAATTTTAAACAAAAAATACAAAATATACTATGTAAAATTTACCATTTCAACTAGTTTTTAAAATGTATAATCATTTTTTTAAGGTTGCCATTGTCCCTTTACTATAATTAACTGCACAGCAGAGTGGTACTGTATATGTGCATGTATGAATAATGTGCTAGTTTTCTACACAAAATATAAAAATGTCAGGTGTTGGAGAGGAAGTTCAGTTAATGAAGTGCGTGCCTTGCAAACCTGAGATGGATGGGTCCCTGGACCCCATGTGAGAAAAAGTTGGGTATAGTGATAAGCATTGTAATCCTAGCACTATGGAGACAGAGCCAGGCAAGATCCCCAAGGCTTTCTGGTCAGCCAACCTCACCTATTTGGCAAGTTCCAAGCAAGTGAGAGACCTTGTCTCTAAAGAAAAAAGTGGTTGGGCCTGAGAAATGAAAGCTATGGCTGTTCTCTGGCCTCTATATACAGAGACATGCTCCTGCACAGACATGTATCTGTACACATGTACCAGCAAACACGCATACACACAAACACAAACTAAAAACACTGGAATTTAGGCATAGCTCAGTAATAGGAGAATGCCTACCACATATGAGGCCTTGGGTAAAATCCCAGCATCATTAAATAAAAATTTTAAAAAATCACACACACACACACACACACACACACACACGGCATGGGTGGCACACACTTTTAAACCTAGCACTTTGGAGACAGAGGCAGGCTGATCTCTCTGAGTTCAAGGCCAGCCTGGTCTACAAAGTGAGTTCTAGGACAGACAGCCAGGACTACACAGAGAAACCTTGTCTTGAACCCCCACACACACACACACACACACACACACACACACACACACACACACACACACCCCTCTAGATAGCCCTAAAAGTGCCAGACACTATAAGCCATCATCATTATGTATCGCATATTAATGTAGAAGATTTAAGTTTCACTTTCCAAAAGAAAATGGCAAAGCAGGACAGGTTAAGGTGAGTGAGATTAAATCTTCTGCAGTTTCTACTTTTCTTAAGCACTGTTGTCTATGAAAAGAAGATTCTGAATTTCTACTCAAGTCCTTTTTCAATGCCTTGAACAGCACCCTGGAAGATGTGAACACTCTATTTGCATCCCAAGACCTTCTTAACAACCTGGAAGCAGGAGGGACACAGGGCAGAAGAGAAGAGGCCCATGAATGAGGACATGCCCTTCTGATCCAGCACTTGTGTGTGAGGCTCAAGCCCTGTTGTCAAATAACTGTTATGCTGCTCCACTCTTCCCTTCTCTTCCTCAGTAGGTCCTGTTATTTTAACCTTTGTTTCTAAGACCAGGATTAACTCTACAGCAGATTCAACAATGGGAAAAAGATGTTCAGAGTACATGCACCCCTCAACATATGATACTGTAAAATTTAATAGGAACTGGTTATTGATCTAAAAAACCCAATTTAAAAGCATTTTTAGTTGGCTGGTTGAAATAATCTACAATGATCACCACTACCTCTCTCAGAATGCTCCTGAGAAAATGTAACCAAGTAACATTTTAAAGCTGCCCAGCAATTGAATTCAAGTACCAGGTATACTGTTAACAAGCCAAAAAGAAAAAGAAAAAGATTATAATATCTGCTCACTGGTGTCTTCCTTCAGAAAGTCTAAAGACTATAAAAAACCTATTGTTATAGTAACCACTCAAGAGCCATTGGAAAGGTGATCCTTAAGGAAAATTTAAAAATAGCTATTAGGCCTGGGCATTGTGGAAGACAACCATAATCCCAGCAGTTGGTCAAAGACAAGATCAGAAAGGTATTCAAAGCTAGTCTTAGCCCCACAGTGGACCTGACACAGCCTGGGCTACAGGAGACCCCACTTTTAAAAGTTCAGAGCCAGCCAGGCGTGCTGATGTACATCTCAGAGCAGAGGAGGATCTCTAGCAATTACAGGCCAGCCTCATATACATGGCAAGTTCAAAGGAGCCAGGCCTACAAATTAAGAACCCCATCTCTAAGAATATAAAATAAACAAAAACAAACACCAAACAAGAGCTGATGAGACCACTCATTGGGTAGGAGAACTTGACAAGCCTGATGACCTGTTTCGATCCCTGAGACCCACATGTTGGGAGGAGAGAGCTGACCCACACAAGTTGTCCTCACAACTCTATGGGGTGTTACAGCATGCAAGCACCTATATGCTCATGCAGGCACACTACATAATGTGTGAAAACAAATGCTGTCACTCTGTCTTTCATGATCTATGTGACAGAAACCATTACCTTTCACATTTAGTTCACTACTGTATTAATGATTTCTTATTTTGTGGAATTCTTCTGAGAAAGCAAATATAGATTTTTCCCTAAAATTTTTTTTCAGGTAGAAAAGCAGTAGTTTCAAAATTTTTGAAAATGAATAATTTCAAAAATGCTAATTGTAGTTGAATACTTTCAGAATGAGGGCATTTTTTATTACCCAACAAAGTATGAGACATTAGACTTCCTTTAGACAGGATCTCACTATACAGCCCTAGCTAGCCTTGAACTCACAGATCCTCTGAGAACTGAATGCTGGGATTAAAGGAGTACACTATCATGCCTGGCTGACAGTAGATTTCTTAATGATAAAAGTACTTTTAGCAAAAAATGTAAAATCAACTTTTATCATAGAACTACCACTTAGAGGAGCTGGAGCCCAGGCTCAGTGGTTAAAGGCACGTGCCCTAGGATTGACTCCCAGCACATGGTGGGTCACAACCATCTGCAACTTCAGTTCTAGGGAATCTGACGCCTCCTCTAACTTCCAAGGGAACCAGGCATGCATGTGGTTATATGCATCAGAACAAAACACTCATGCACATAAAATTTAAAAAGCAACTCTTAAGAAAATTAAATAAAACACCAATTACTTATCAACTGAACATCCAATCATTTTTGTCAGGCACATAGTGATGTGAGGCACACTTTCTACAACACCAGGGACTCAAGTGACATTTAGGCATAAAAGTACTGTAAAGTTAACCTATTTAAACAGAGGCATTTATATCCACAAAATTTTATAATCATTAGCATCATCTAATTGCAGAACATTTCATCATACCAATAAGAAACCCCCAGTTAAATACTGAAAGGCAAATTTCTAATTCCAGAATTAAGCATCTGAGATAAACTTAATTTTACAGAAGCATATTCCCTCTTGTCACTTGTTTGAGACCGAGTCTCTCTGGATCCCAGGCTGATGTTGACCTCACTATGTAGCCCAATTATACAATCCTCCTGCCTTAGCCACTCCAGAGCTGGGATTTCATGCGTGTGCTACTAGGCCCAGAAAAGAAGCACAGTCTATACAACATTGTGCTTGTTTTATCTTTTAAATATGCAGAACAAAGACTGGAATGAAAAACAAGTACCCCAAAATAGTAAGAAAAGCTATATGGGGCAGCAGAATCATAACAACTCTTTTTCAATGCGTTTCTTCTTTCTTTTATTTTTTAAATTGTAAAATTCTATTTGTCTATTTATTTATTTTGGGTTTTCAAAATGGGGTTTCTCTGTGTAGCCCTGGCTGTCCCAGAACTCGCTCTGTAAACCAGGCTTCCTTTGAACTCACAGAGATTTTCCTGCCTCTGCCTCCTGGGTGCTGGGAATAAAGGCATGCACCACCACCTCCTGGCTTCAATACATTTTTCTAAAGCTGGAATTCAATAATACTACCTGTATGATTCTTTCAAGAAAACATAGCAGGCATATTTTCTAGAATCATATGCTAGAATCTGTACAACACAGTAAGAACAAATTTCAGGTGACTCCTAACACCCATATTCTTATTACATGTTTTCAGTGTAGATAACTGTTAAGATGAAAGTGAGACACTTGGTGACTTACTAATCTGGATGAATGCTATGCTGCATCTTACTTCATGACGTGGATTATTTCCTCACCGTTACATCTGCGCATCTACTTCTTGATGGCCATTTCTGAAATAAAGGTACAGTATTGAGAATGTGGTTCATATATTACAAACCATAAAGTCTGTAAGAACAAATGACTACATCATCATGACCAGTAAGGACTATTCACACAGCTCTTAAGCAAACTTCTAACAGAAAACATTAGAGTTATGATGCACAGTTTAAAAACAAAATACTGGGTACTGTCCCCTAGGACCACAATGTTTCAGTCCTCAACACCTTTGTCCCTCTGGGGCTCTTGATTGAGATCTGTAAACTGGAACACAAAAGATACACACAGGAAACCATAAAACTGCATGTTTTGAACACCATAAAGCAACTGTCCACTCATTGTTTATTTAGCCATTACACCTAAAATAAAAAAAAAAAAAACAAGAAAGGGATTTCTGTCCATTTTATTTATTTACTTTAGGCACCTGAAACAATGGCTACTGTGCCAATAAACGCTCTTCACAATGAAAAAACTGATTATTGGTTAACTCCAACTGATGGAATGTATGGTGGTCTGAATGAAAACAGCCCCCACAGGAACCCTGCCCTTCCCTGGCCCTAGAATAGCTGTCCTACCTTTTGCTGGATGCCCCCAGGAGAGATGGCCCCACTCCTCACCATGGGCAGGAGAGAGCTGACCCTGAGGGGGGCAGCCCCAGTGGCCTGGACTGACCAGTTCAGCTACCACCCAGGCCCACTGTGGTTGACCCACCCTTAACATCTACCCCACCTACGACCTGCTGGAGCTCATGAAGGGACTGGTCCTGTGGAATGATAACTGCACTATCTCTGTGACTTGGGGCAGCAATAGAATACCCAAGAGGAATTTCTGTGAGGAGTGATGATGGTGTACCAGAAACCAGAGGCCTTGAACCAGACCAATGATCCCTTGCAATGAACATCTGCAAGTAAAGCTGATTGGATAAAACACTGCAGCTCCTAATGCTGCCGGGACTAATGAAGAGGTGTTGGAGAGGCAGGAAAGATTGAGAAGTCAAGAGGTTTTTATTTATTTAAAATTTTCATTGTGGGGGCACTGCGGTGGGGAGGGGAGAATACGGAAGGATGAGGAGGTGAGCAGAATTGGGAGTGCCTGATATAAAATTCCTAAAAATCCAATGAAGAAATTATGCTAAAAAGGAAGGAAGGAAGGAAGGAAGGAAGGAAGGAAGGAAGGAAGGAAGAAAAAGGGGGCTAGAGAGATGACTCAGTGGTTAAGAGAACTGGCTGCTCTTCTAGAGGCCCTGAGTTCAATTCCCAGCAACCACATGATAGCTCACAACCATATGTAATGAGATCTGGTGCCCTCTTTTGGTGTGCAGGAATATATGCAGGCAGAAAGCTGTATACATAATAAATAAGCTGGGAGTTTTGTATCTGGATTGGTGGGCAGCAGAAAGATAGAATGACACCAGGCCTGGCTTGAGCTTCTGAAACCTTAGAGCCCGCCCTCTGTGACACACTTCTCCAACAAAGCCACACCTACTCCAACAAAGCCACACCTGTTTTTTGTTTATTGAGGGAAATAAATAAATACCTAAAAATAAATAAATGAATGAATGAATAAAAGAAAAAAGAAAATAGCTCCCATATACTCATAGGAGTGGCATTACTGCAGGTGTGGCTTTGTTGGAGTAGGTGTGGCTTTGTTGGAGAAGTGTGTCACAGGGGGCGGGCTCTAAGGTTTCAGAAGCTCAAGCCAGGCCTGGTGTCATTCTATCTTCCTGCTGCCCACCAATCCAGATACAAAACTCCCAGCTACCTTTCCAACACCATGCCTACCTGCTTGTCCTCATGCTTCACACCATGATGACAATGGACTAAACCTCTGAACCTGTAAGTCAGCTTCTATTAAATGTTTTCCTTTATAAGAATTGCCGGGCTGGAGAGATTGCTCAGAGGTTAAGAGCACTGACTGCTCTTCCAGAGGTCCTGAGTTCAATTCCTGGCAACCACATGGTGGCTCACAACCACCTTGAATGAGATCTGGTGCCCTCTGCTGTCGTGCAGGGCACATGCAGACAGAAGACTGTATACTTAATAAATAAAATCTTAATAAAAAAAAAAAAAAAAAGAATTGCCATGGACATGGTGTCTCTTCATAGCAACAGAAGCCCTAACAAGACAAAATGCTTAACCCTCAAACACCATTTCTCCCACAGAAATGCCACTAATGCCAACTACATCACCATCATCATCTTTCCCTCAATAAACAAAAAACATAAAAGACAACAAAGACCAGCACTTGGGAGGCAGAGGCAGGCAGTTCTCCGTGAGTTCAAAGCCAGCCTGGTCTCCAGAGCGAGTGCCAGGATAGGCTCCAAAGCTGCACAGAGAACCCTTTTCTCGAAAAACCAAAAAAAAAAAAAAACCAAACCAAAACAAACAAACAAAAAGACAACAAAGACATATTCCCAATCACAGAACTAGAACAAAAGCCTAGGCTATCTTGGAACTTGATCAATTTTACCTTTGGTAAAGTCTCCAAGAAGGGGAAGAGCTATTTTTGCCAAGTACCAGGCATGAGATGGGCAGGTGTTTTTTTATTAAACATTCATATTCTTTAAGGTATTGTAGAGACCATTAGGAATTCAAGTCTTCTGTAGGAAGTGAAAAGTTAGCATTCTTACAGAAGACAAGAATAAACCCACAATTCTGGCAGTTCCCTACTTCTCATGCTATAACTGAATGATAATCCACAAAATGCTATTTGTGCCTGGTGTAGTGGTGAGGCAGAGGCAGGAGATCTCTGTGAGTTTGAGGACAGCCTGGTCTACAGAGGGAGTTCCAGGACAGCCAGAGCTACACAGAGAAACCCTGTCTCGAAATACCTTAAAAAACAAACAAATAAACAAAAATTATGTCCCCAACTTCAAAGAAAAAAATTCAGTAAGACATATCTGCACAGTTTTTGTTCCTGTTTTGTTTTTAAATACTCTGTCCCCAATCCCACAAAGGAGCAGCTCAGGATCTTAATCAGATGAGAACTATTAGAACAATTCCCAAAAGAAATGACATTCCCTTTCTTGAACTCCTTTAAGCACGTCTGTTTGTGATTATAAAGTTAAGTTTTCTCAGGAAAAGTTCCACTACTTCAAATTTCCTCGTTATCTTTAGGAATTGTGGCCACTGGAAAGAATCAAAAGCGCACAAGTCTTAACAGGACTAAATTAGATGCAACACTGTAGGGATGTCTGAACTTAATGTTTTTTGCTTTAAATAAACAAACTCACTCTGGGCTGAGGCCTACTCTGCCTTTTTGAGTATCATGTGGCTGGCAAACCTCAGGGTTTTAACAGAAATTAGCCAGGGGACAGAGGAACCACCAAGTATGACTCAGTGATCACATTTAATAGGCCCTGAAGACCAAACCAAACACATCCAAATCTCTAAAACTGTCCCAAACCCACTGCCAACATACCTTTCATCTGAATACTCTATGTTCATTTAAAGTTCACAAACCTATCATATAATCCAAGAAGTGAAAATAAATCCAGAAACAGAATCCGCAGGGGCTTCAAGGGCTGAATAATGAATCTGACAGTAAAAAGCTGACTTGGGGGAAGAGGCAGAGAGAACCCTTCAATATTTTTAAACAGAAAACTTCGGTCATCTAGAAATGAGATAGCAAATCAGTATCTAAAAGGTGAGTGACAGGATCAGCAAGTGGCTAAGCAGGCAAAGGTCCCTGTCAAGCTGACACTGTGTGCACTCTTCTGGACCCACACAGTGGAAAGAGAATGGACCCTTATCTTCCAACCACCCATGCGCCTGTACATGTGTACACAGGATCATATACACAGTAAGTAAATGTAACTTAAAATTTTAAAGACTTTTAATAACTTGGCCTTGCTATGCTGATGCCCTCAATTATTCGGAGAACATGAAAATTCCTTAGAAGAATTATCACTGTGACTAAAAAATATGTCTTTAAACATTAATACAACCTAGCTCTTTGTATAGAGGAGAAATGCAGCAGAAGTACCAAGTTTAAAGTTGCCAAACGACTAAATATAAATGCTACTTTGCAAAATATTTTTGTACTGGGTTGTCAACAAAAACTAATACAACTGCCCCTCAGAATCTAAAGTCCGTGTAGGGATGTTGGAGGGGAAGGAAGGAGGACTCATTCTCAAGGCCACAATTAGAAATAATACAACCTGATTTAAAAGGAAAAACCCCGGGTTCTTAGTGTTCTTCACCACAGCATGTTCAAAACTGTATTTAAAATCAAACAAAGCTATGGGAATGGCCTGAGTGATTTCAATTCAATGCCTGAGGTATCATCAGTAGTGTCTGTTTTTAGGCCTTGCTTCAGGCTTTATAGAGGGAAATGATGGCATGTGAGTGTGCATGGTCTCTTGAAAGTTACATATACAATCTTTATAATCAGTAATTGTCTGGTCCTCCTTCCTAAGTACACTCATAAAATGAGTAAATGTCCTATTTTACAACTTTTGTTTTCTATAGACTTCCTGCTGAATTCTAGGTCACTATACAAAATGGTTTTTGTTTGTTTCCTTGCTTGGTTTTTCAAGAGAGGGTTTCTCTGTGCAGCTCTCTGGCTGTCCTGTAACTCCCTCTATAGACCAGACTGGCCTCAAACTCACAGAGATCCACCTGCCTCTGCCTCCCGAGTGTTGGAAATAAAGAAGTGTGCCACCACATCCAACTACACAATGTATTTTTAAACAGAAAATATTATTACATTTCCCTCTGTGATCTATCTAGAATATCAAGATAGAAACTTGCCAAGTTTTCTTCTAAGTCTTCAACATCACACACAAAAGATAAATACAAACCTAAATAAGGATCACAAAAATTGTGACTTTGTTGTTTTTCATCAACTTTACATGCAATGCTTAAAATATTCATTATGCAGAGAGGCTTGGCCTCAAATAGGCTTAGTTTTTATACTCTTCAGGGAGTTGAGTTATCTGGATACCAAAACATTCAGTTTTTACATGTGTCCTACAGATTGTCATCTTACTCCATTAACTTTTCATTGCATTTTA